CCTTTTTGTAAATGCAACCAGGAATGAATATTTTGGAAGTAAATTACTTTTTTTTATGCATCAGAAATGAAGAGCATTTATACAATGTACATAGCAGTTCTTCTGGAAGTAAATAGACTATATTCATGGTGTGATATCAACCCAGAGTATACCTTAAGATTCATCGGTGTTTTATCAGGCCACAACAATTTTTAAGTAGTTCAGTCAATCGAGGACTTGTTTCTGTGCATATCACATGGAGGTGCGAATCCCATAGCCTTACTATTCACCACCGTTCAGACCGTTCTGAGTCAACTGATTTTATGTTGTAATTAACCAATCGACTTTCATGGATAAGCGATGTAGTTTGAGGTAAACAAATCAGGGGAACCAGCAAGCTCACTGTGTTAACGAGGCTGCCAGTATTCATGCAACTTTTCGATCGCGTAAGCTTTTCCACCGATCGCTCTCAAATTCACATGCTTATAGTTCTACCTAGCAGACAATGCGGTAGGATTCAATTAGCTCCTGCATATTGATGCGTTCGTTCTCTCAAACCAACTCCTTTCAATGGATGAAGTATCAGTCGTCAATGAAAAAAACGAGGCTAGAGGGTCCACATTTAGGTCAATGGGCGAAAAATAGGCTAACACCATTGCAGACGTCGTATGCGACCCGCTAAAAGAGCTGCCTGGTCTCAGCAGTGACTCATAACCTTCCTATCGGAGGCGTCAGCGATGTGTCAAAATCCGGAGAATAAAATTAACTTTCAGGTGCGTATACCTCTGAGGTTCACTTTACCTCGAATTCACCATATGAAAGGGCGTTTTATTTTCGAGTCAAAGGGCTTGCCTGATGTACGCAACTGGTGTCCAGAGTAAAAAAATATTTAACACTGTCAACGGCCCAAGTACAGTTCTTATAAATTTGCAGTAAACAACGAAATAAGCATTGCCCATTTTAAGGAATTGTGTTGTTTAAAGTTAAATCGGAATACTAGCTGCGTGCGTATGTTCTAGCGTGGGCATTCTGCGGTCAGAAATCTCTGTATCGATTATCCTGAATGGACTTTCTAATCTGACAAAAAATAAGTAGTAATGCATATTTTCTGCGGAATTAGTTTGGAGTCCCTATTACTCCAGTTATCGTTTTCAAGTTATTGCAGTCAGCGTAAAGTCATCAAAGTCCATCGACTACACATAATTATGTGCTAAGCACACGAATCAAATTGCCGGATAAGACTGCGATAAGGCTTTCTTGCGAAGCCGCCTTAAAAATATTACCCCGCCGGACTTTGTTACTGAATTTGTTGTAAGAGGGGTGAGGTAAACCAGGGCCTTTTGGGTGCGGGAAAAAGGAACAAATAGAAAGAAATCAAGGACGCTTGCACTTGTTATACGTAACTGAAAATGCTATTGAGAAGAAAGCCTGCAGACCAAGAAAACTAATAGGGCAACCATATTGGATAAAAAATGAAGACTATAGACCAATAAAACTATTAGAGCAACTCTTTTCACTATTAGGCGGCCTATTGCTTAATAAAGCTAGCCTATTGACCAAGAAAACTATTATAGCAACTCCTTATACCATTAGACGGCCTCACAAGGAAGACCTACCAAGACTTCAGACCAAACATTCGCCTAAACCTGTCTAAACTGGTACTGGGAAAATAGATTTTTAAGACTTTGTCTCATTTCTCAATACTAGATTTGCCCATACTTTTTAAATATGACGATGTTTAAAGTATGCATACTAAGTACTCAGGATTTTGTAATTTATAAAACAGCCACTGTGGCTCCCAATACTTCGATATTGGAATTTCCACCAGTGTATCTTTGATAACATTGCTAAATAGTTGCTGAAGTGGGAAAACTGATTGATACCTGGATATTATTGTACAGACTACGCGTGTTCCTCTAGTTTTTCCTGCAATTTTCCTTCTGGAAATTCAATCCAGCCACTTGCATCCGCCTTCAACTCAGCTCTTCTTGCCTCTGTGTTGACACTGAGCCCAGGTGGATGAGAAAGATATTAGTGTGTTAAATAGTTCGCAAGTTGACTACCACTCAAAACTTATTCACATGCACGTCGCCGTTCTTGCGCCTAGTTTGCTCTGAAACATAGGGTAGACCTCGTCGGTATTCTGACGGTCGAACTCTCGGAATCACCTAGTATTAGCAGTGTTCATCTGCCGACCGGCCAGAATTAACCGAAGCATGCTGGTAATTTAAATAACTAAGTCAGACAGCTGCAAAAGTGTTCAGTTCGGTGCATGGGAAGTTTAAATGTGCTGTTAATTTGTCTTTCCAGACGATCAGTTATTTTCTGGCTTTCAAAGTTTTTATCCAATTACGCTAACACTGCAATCTTTTATGACTGAACTTAAATAGTTGATCGAAGCCCATAGTGCTCGGTTTAGAAAACTCGGAACTATTATTACTAAACCATTACCACCACCAACCCGAGTTATTTTATTGGTGAAATAATTTTTTTTCTTGAGACTGTTATTTACCCGCCATGACTCCCTGTCCTTTGCTGACATATCGAAACGGCTTCATATATTACGCAAGATTCTCTGCGGGGCGTTTGCCAGTTTCCTACACAAGCGACGAGTAAAATAGCAGCAGTCCATAGAGTAGCCTGTTACTGTCGCACATTCCAGTTAAAAGTTCCTTGCACCCGAAATCCATGTTAAAACCTTCGATTTTTATTTGCCATTTCTGACCTAGACGCGAAAATGGGGACGGAGGTAGCAGACGAATAAACGAACTGTCTGAATGTACATGAAATAGTTTAAAAGGGATATAGAAGGGGAGAGATCAGTTTATCCCGGGTAACGTGATGCACTTCAGTTTCAAATTTCTTGAAATGAAAAAAATGAAAGTGCAAATTTAATCAGGATCTGCGTAGGTTACTGCGCCCCTTTCACTTCTGTTTGCAATACGACAAGACTATTGATAGATCTTGAATTCATTCTATTCGGATTTTTTAAGTTGACAACACTAGATAAAATAGCATTGGCATTTTTCAAGCTAAGTGCAGGCATCGTGAGAATCGTGGGGCAGGTTACATGACTTTTGCTGCTGCATTCTTCCACCATGTCCAAATCCCTGAGAAGTTTGCCTGTCATGTTCATAAAAAGCGCCGTTCACATGTTTCGTTTACAAGCGTCATAAAGTTTAATCTTTCCGCTTCCTGCTCTGCTGAGTTCCCACAGGCCACCTTTACGACTGTGATGCGGCATGTAACCGTTTGGTTCATGAATCGGGCATCCATTCTGTCCACATCGGGAACCCTCTCCAGCATACGTTTCCTCACATTACTTCAGCGGATGGTTGACTTGAAGTGAGGTGCAATTTCCCATGCTGGTGTCCTTGTTGGTTATTGTTGACAATCAACGCTCAGGGGTTTTTAAATTGAACATCTGATAGTCCTTACCGGTCGCAAACTAAACACCAAGTTCTTCAAAATATGCTGTTTTACCGTGTCCCCATCAACACTTTTAGACAGCCTTTCACCTAAAAGGTAATGGTAGGAGGGTATATGTTCGTGCTGCTGAAACCATTGTTTGTTTGAAATTGCAGACATTTGCGCTTTTTCTTACTTACGGACAAGATTTCAGGGTTCTTAAACGTCCTCTACTGTCGTTTCGCAGACGGCATCTTTCATGGTTAGAAAATTAACACCTCTTGCCCGTTTTTTTGTAACAATCAAAATAAATTAACTAGTCATTTGAAAATAGCATAAACTACCCATTTATGCCTGACGACCCACTTTAAATACAAGGATATTTTTTCCATTTAGTTATCGCGAAGTATGCCCCCTTACTGCTGTCAAAAATACGCTAATCTGCACAGTCTTTCCTCTAGGTATCTTGGGCTGCTGAGGAGAACGAGCTAACTCCGCATGGTATCTACACCAAGAATTCGAAGCCCTTCCGACATATTGTTCCGGGGGTAGGCCAGATTTATTCATCTCTCCTGTCATTGCGGGCATTTTCATTTTCCCAACGCCTTAGATAACATCCTTTTAAAACAGCTGTTTTCATATTTCAAGTTAACTGCTCCAGTTGTTAGAAATCACCGAATATCTCAATTGTCGGGCGTTGTGACGAATATGAATGGCCGTATCCTGCATGCACAGGCGCTCTCCTAACAGAACACTCTTTAACCGGGGCTTTGCTAGTCGCGCGGTGTAGCATCGCACTCATTTATTATAGTTCAATTAGATGATGTTAAAAAATCTTGTACGCTTGCGAACATAGACAGCTGATGTGCTGATAACTTTTTTTCTATCGAAATGTATCTAAAGGCCATTTTCTTCTGCTTTGCATTCCTTCCTAGACCCAAACCTTTTACGTTCTGGAAAACCTGAAATTGAATTTGACCTATAGGATTCAGGTAAGCGTTGCATTTTGATCTATCAAAGCCATTATAACTATGTGACTATAATGTACACGAATTTCCCATCAGGCTAGTAGTGACCACGAAGCAACACTAAGGAATCTGCCATGAACTTAGGCTATTTTTTTTT